GAAATATGGGATTATATACTGTTATCTTAGATGGATTATTTGAAGTACTGGTTTATAGTCAGAGATAGACACTGACTCAGGGCATAATGATAGTACCTTAAGATTCACAGATTGTGCCCATATTTGTTGCCATATTCTGTACACTTTGCCTCTTCTTGCCTGTTTCCCCAATCTTGATGGAAGGTTGGAAATGGAATTGAGATTCTGAAGCAAAATTTGTGAAGTAGCAATTGATCACTTTTTGAAAAGGAGTCAAGATTAGGAGGATTTAAGGGAAGCAAATGATGCTTTCTAGAGCATCTGGCTTACTGCCCAGGAAGAGTAGCTGCTCCCAGAAACAGCTGTAGGCAAAAAGCTGACTTGGAGATGAATGACTCCACCACAGGGTACCTGCCTGTCTCCTACCTTAGAATGGTCTGACTTTCCAACCAACTTGCCTGGGGATGTGCTGCCCAGCTGGTGGCCTGACTATTTTTCCTTGTGACCACCAGGGGATCAAGTATTTGCTGGGCTAGAAGAGCAAGCCCGCCAGGCGATGATGAAAACTGATTTTCCTGGAGACCTTGACAGTCAGCGACAAGCTATCCAACAACTAAGAGATCAGGACTCCAGTAGCAGTGAGTTCTGCACCTTCTGGTAATGACTCAGGGCAATGGGAGAAGAATTATCAGAGTGTGTGTGCTCTGGGGATTGTGCATGGGGTTGGGAGGAAGACATGAAGAAGAAGATTTGTGGATTCTCAGTTTCCCAAAGGTGTTCTAAAGTCTATGGGCATATGCTTATCCAGAGAGAGAACAGGTTTGGCATTATGGTTTGTTTGTTTGTTTACTTGGCACAGTGCCATACACAGATAGGTTTGTGATGATTGTGATAGACAGGAGCATAGGAATAATTAGTGCTCAAGCAGCCCCTGGGTTAGGTCAAGTGAAAAGGAAAAAAAAAAATCCCTGTCTCCTTGGATCTATTTACTCATAATTAATAAAATGTAAGAGTGACATTAACAAAACTTTTGCTTGAGGGTCTAGTTTTACAAGAAAAGTTGCATACTAATGAAATTATGCATTATACAGAAAGCTAAAGTCAAGATCTTCCTTTGCACACCAAGTCCTAAGTAGGTTCCTGTGCTTAAGAGATGAAAAGGACAGTGGCTGGTAGCCGGTTGACCTTGTGGATCATCACCTGCATGAACAAATACACTTTGAGATGTGTTATTTTCTACGATGATTTCTACACTTTACTAATCACTTCCATTACTGGTTATTATTAATGTCAATTCAGAGAGGCATTTCAGATTTTTCTCTGAGGAAGAATAAAGAAAGAGAGAGTTCTGCAGCCTTTAAGGAACTACAGTTTCCACTTAAGCTAATTTAGCAACAACAAAAAAATAATTTAGCAATTGCTCAAGAAGAGATAAATGAACTCAAATATTTCTAGAAAACCTGTGGGAGCCATCAGTTCAAGTAATAGGTAGGAATGGCAACATCTATAAGTCTAATAGGTATCCATTCTGGAAAAAAGATACATCATCCCTCTGGACCAGCATACTTATTATTTTTTTCAAGTTTTCCCAGTAAGATATATTTGGATTTTTGATAAATTACAAAAATGTGTTTGATACAGTGTTGTCTTAGACAGAGTTTACAAATATTCCAGATAAACTGGTGAGAAAATATGGTATGATTTAATCTGTGCCAATCCTTCATCACAGAGATGAATTCAAACTAAAGCTTTGGGCTGGAGAATAAGGCCAAATCCAGTACACCAATCAAGTGGAGTATCTAACAGAGACACATGTAACTACTAATAGATGATTTGTTCAGATTTTCTTAGGAAGAAAGGGAATGTAACCAGTTTTGCCCAGATACTAGTAAATTCAGAAATTGTACAAGGGATAGAAGAGAGAAGACAGGAAGCACTGTTAGCTAGGAAAACTGAGTCTCACTGCTGATGCAGAGAAACTGGTGAAACTCTACCCTATATTTCTCACTTGCTTACAGTCAGACCTAGGGGTCCAGGATCTAGGTGGGGTTGGGATGGGGCTGGAATGTGACAGCTTCCCTAGAATTGGCTTCCTCTTGTGATCTTCAAGGTGCTACCACATATTTTTCCTTTCAGAAAGCACTCCCTTTGTTATTGTGTATTTCTTTTTTCAGACAATCACTTCCCTATTTTATAAATAATAGGACAGAAAACAAGCTCCCAAAAACCTTGAAGATTTCCCAGCCACAGGCAGATCTCCCCATAGCCACGTCCTATCCCCTAAGATAAAACACTCAATTCTTACTTCAGTCACAATAAATTATATTTCATTCTAAAGTAAAGAATAACCTGTTCCCTCTACCTAATGCATCTAGTCATCCATCAGATAATCCAAAGAACCAACAGAAACAATGGATTTATTTAGCCTAGAATGATGAGGTACTAGCAGAGTAATAAGAACACAGTGAGTCAAATACCACTACAAACTGCCTGAGGTTGGTTGCTGCACTAATTTTTCCACTGTACTGAACAGCCCTTTCCCTATAAAGTGACATCGTTTTAACCTAATTTACTACTGCTTCCTTTATTGATTAGAGGAAAGAAAAACTTGTTGGTATTTGTTTAAGTGTGCCTTGGGGTTTGTTGGGAGAGTACAGATTAGTGGGACTCAGAATAGAATAGTATATGTGACACCATGGAGAAATTGTATTGGGGGTTATGGAGAAAAATAAGTTAATAAAATTAGTGAGAAGTGTTGGTAGAGGTGGTGTATTGTGGGAATGAGCATGATGTGAGGTATATGGGAATTGTGATTTGTAGTGTGAGATATTTGGGAACCATGTGTAAGAAATTATTTTTATGATAATGTAGAGGGCCCAATAACCATTTTCCAATGTAGTTTTGCCTCAAATTTTCTCTTTAGTGTGTATATGGCATTATAAACAACAGCTATGGCTGGCTTCCACTTAACATGATTTGTACCCAACTAAGCAGTAATACAAACTATCCTATGTATAGCTGCAAATGTTTTTTTTTCCCTCTCATATATATATTTTTTCCTTATTGATTTTAGAGAGAGAGGAAGGGAGAGGGAGAGAGAGATAGAAACATCAATGAGAGAGAACATCGATTGGCTGCCTCCTGCATGCACCACACTGGGGATCGGGCCCACAACCTGGGCATGTGCCCTGACTGGGAATTGAACCGGTGACCTTCTGGTGCTTGGGTCGATGCTCAACCACTGAGCCACACCAGCTGGGCAAATGTTTTTTACTATACCTGCAAACTCTAGGGTGGAAAGCAACTCAAGTATATTCATGCAAAAATCAGAACAAGTGACCAGTTTGTGTGTTCCAGGTGACAGTGAGGGTGATGAAGAGGAGACCACACAAGATGAAGTCTCTTCCCACACATCAGAGGAAGATGGAGGGATGGTCAAAGTGGAAAAAGAGTTAGAAAATGCAGAACAACCTGTTGGTGGGAACGAAGTGGTAGAGCATGAGGCAAGTGACAAATGGCTCCTGCGTCCAGGAACCCCCTCACCCTTCCACTCGGCCCTGATATCTCTCAGACATATAGAACAGTCTTGCTCTGACAGTCTTCTGGGCCTTCATATGAAGCCTCTCTCCCTTCACAGCACCAGTTACCCAAACCTCAGCCACAATTCTTATCTCACCCAGCTTTCCTTTTCCACCTACATATCACTACACCCATGTACAGCTCTCCTTCCTAAAGCTCCCCACTTCTTTCCAGACAGAATATCCACCTTTGTAAAAATATTAGCTGACTTCCTGAGGTGTACTCTTGCATATGTTTGCAAATTTAAGTCAAAGTGTTACTTTACTAAATTGTTTCCTGAAGATTCCTGCAAGAAGCATGGCAGGAGGAAACTAATCTTCTCTCTACAGTTTATCTTGGGGAAAAAAAAAAGCTAAGCTCTCTCTGGGGCAATCCTATGCCCTCATGGCAGGAAGCCTTGGAGAAAATAAAGATAAGTGCAAATTTAATTCTCTTCTCCCTATTAGTTTTTCCTTTGGTCCATATGGAAACCTAAGAATAATATGTGATACCAGGTTGTGTTTTTTATAGCAGGATATCCTGTAAAAAGAAGTAGGGGCGGGGAAGAGATTGGTCAATAGTCTTAATGAATTGCCTATTTATTGAATCGCAGGTCACAGAGAATTTGAATTCTGACCCCTTACTTGGACTCTGCCAGTGTCCCCTCTGCCAACTAGACTGTGGGAGTCGGGAGCAGCTGATTGCTCATGTGTACCAGGTATGGTGTGGGGGACTATGTGCTCTGGAACTTGAGCGCCAGCAGCTTGTTTAGCCTTTGCCTCCAGCTCCCAAAGGAACCTTGGGTTTTTCTAATTAAGACTCCTCTCCAGATCTCAGAACATTTTGAAGAATAAGTGGAATCTGTTGAGTAAATATGTTTTAAGGTTTCCAGGCAGACAAACGGAAAATTAAGTACCATTAAAAAAAATTACTTAATGCATATTTTAAATAGTGAAATAGAAACTAACATTTATTAATAGTGAGGGCTATTTTAAAGAAGAAAAAATGAGTTAACATAAATGTTTCTGAAATACTGGAGAAAGTTAGTATAAATGAAGGGATGAGAGTAAGACAGACATATTTTTTTAATCCTCACCCAAGGACATGCTTAGAAAGAGGAAGAGAGAGAGAGAGAGAAACATCGATCGGTTGCCTTCCATATCCTCCCCAACCAGGGATTAAACCCGCAACCCAGGCATGTGCCCTGACCGGAATTGTACCAGCAACCCTTCGGTTGGGATGATGCCAAACCAACTGAGCCACACCAACCAGGGCAAGACAGACTTTTGTGTTCTTTTTCCCCTGATCAATTACAGAGCACCTGTGCCTTATGAGCTGTATTGAAAAGGCATCAGCACACAAGGCAGCCTGGGTTATGGTGTAAAGAGATAATTTATGAGGAGATGCATTTCTTCAAAAGATTGTTTTTAAAAGACTGAAGGAAAGGCAGGACACTTAAATACCTTTTGGATACCAATCTTCCCAGTTAGCTTCTAGACTGGCCTTCGTTGCTCCCTTCACATGGACTTGTACCTGCACAATGTAAGGCAAGCAGTCAGAGAGAAATTATCCTGAGCATGAATTCCTCTGAGGCTCTGAAGATGGCTCTGGAGCCCCATTGTTCCTTAGTTTGGCCACATGTCCCAGAACGTAGTCAGAATTCAAATGAATGAAATGTGAGTGGTGGTCTGAATGGCCTGGCCCTTCTGAAAGACCATTAACACAAGAGACTTTTACTTTTCCAGGTGCTAAACAGGGAGAATAGTTGCAAGTCCCTTTTTCTGAGACTAAGGAAAGAAGATGTTTCCCATAAAATAGTTCCTAAGTAGTGGGTATAGATTGTCCTGGAGGTGGCGTGAGTTGACAGATTAAGGTTCTGTTTTACAGCACACTGCAGCAGTGGTGAGCGCCAAGAGCTATATGTGTCCTGTCTGTGGCCGGGCCCTTAGCTCCCCAGGGTCATTGGGTCGACACCTCCTAATCCACTCGGAGGACCAGCGGTCTAACTGTGCTGTATGTGGAGCCCGTTTCACCAGCCATGCCACGTTTAACAGGTTAGCCAGGCACCTACTCCTCTTGTGCTGGGAACAAATTACTGGGTATGGGTTCTGCTTTCCCAAGTCAAAGTAAAGTCTAGAGATAGGTAATGCAAAGGCAATTGATTCTTGGACTCTTTGGAAGTACAAATAATGAGGCCAGTGAATATGCCCATCCCATTAGCTATCCCCAAAGGGAAATGATTTCCCATTTCTTTCCCCTATCAGAATATTTTCATCTAGAAAGATATGTGGGAAAGTCCAAGAATATTCATGCAAAAGCATGGAGAAAGAAGTTACAGGGTGCTGAGAGGACCCTGATGTGAGAACATAGTCTCTACTGTGTCCCAGGCAGACTGGAACGGTGTGAATTGTGTCCCACTTGCTAGTGTACAATGTAGAGTTGGCCAGGGCAGGAGGAGCCTGAGCCAGTGGACTGTACCTGCCCTGAAGGCAGCCTCTACCTCAATGACTGCCTCCTTCTACTCCCCTGCACAGCTCTACCAAACACCACCATTCTGGCTTGAATGAAAAGGGCTCTTTGTAAGGGCTCATCTGATTTCTAGTGGCTTGCTGTGACATTTGGTTCTGTCACTAACTCCAGGTGGGTGTTAAAACTTAGTATACACCCTAGCCCAAAGAAGAGCAGGTGGAGAGGAAGAACAGGTCTCCAAGCACTCAGACTGACCCCTAGTGGTGAAATTGGAGAAACTGGCCTAGCAGGACAAGAGTAAGTCAGAAATGAATACCTGAGCCTTGCTAGGTGACACTAACCATTCAAAATTTTTGCTTTCCAGCGAGAAACTTCCTGAAGTACTTAATATGGAATCCCTACCCTCAGCCCACAGTGAAGGCCCCTCCAGTGCTGAGGGGAAGGACATTGCCTTTAGTCCTCCAGTTTACCCTGCTGGAATTCTGCTTGTGTGCAACAACTGTGCTGCCTACCGTAAGCTACTAGAAGCCCAGACCCCCAGCGTACGCAAGTGGGCCCTCCGTCGACAGAATGAGCCTTTGGAAGTACGGCTACAGCGGCTGGAACGAGAGCGCACAGCCAAGAAGAGCCGGCGGGACAATGAGACCCCCGAGGAACGGGAGGTAAGGCGCATGAGGGACCGCGAGGCCAAGCGCCTGCAGCGCATGCAGGAGACTGATGAGCAACGAGCACGCCGGCTGCAGCGGGATCGGGAGGCCATGAGGCTCAAGAGGGCCAATGAAACCCCAGAGAAGAGGCAGGCCCGGCTCATCCGGGAGCGGGAGGCCAAGCGGCTCAAGAGGAGGCTGGAGAAAATGGACATGATGTTGCGAGCTCAGTTTGGCCAGGACCCTTCTGCCATGGCAGCCTTAGCAGCCGAAATGAACTTCTTCCAACTACCTGTGAGTGGGGTGGAGTTGGACAGCCAGCTCCTGGGCAAGATGGCCTTTGAGGAGCAGAACAGCAGCTCTCTGCACTGAACCACAAAAACCCTCCTGCCTACCCTCCCACTCACCTGTCCACCCAAGCCCACAGGGGTCAGTGTTGCAGCCACCCACAGGGCCTTGTCCTTGCTGCCTGAGGCAGGCCCAGGTTTTTTGCAGGTGGATCTGTACACCCCTTGCATGTTGGAGCAGGATGATGGGGCCAGGAGAAACCCAGCTCAAGGCTGGACAAGGGAGCAGACACTCCAGAGAACTGGACTCCCCAGCCCACTGCTGCAGGGCATGCTATAGGACTGTGGGGCCCCAGGGTGACCCATGAAATTGTAAGGGCAAATAAATTAATTTTATCTTTATTGGCTCTTTCCTGCTTTTCTTTCAGTTTCATTTTAGTAAATGAAGTTATCTGGGACAGACCTACGTGGAAGTTTTCAGGCAGTGACTTCTGGCAGTTGTCCTTTTCTGAGGGAGGGTACTCCTCAACTTAGGCTCTCCAAGCAAAGATCCCTAGCTATTTTGGCCTTTATAAGTTGAAACATAACTAAGACATTAAAGAACCAATGCTGACTTTGTGAGGGTCCATTCCCACAACCCTAACGAAGGTAATGCACAGTCCAAAGGGCTATTAAAACATAGCTTATCTTTTCTTTATTTTTTTTGGTATGTGCCCCTAGCGGGAACCGAACCCGGGAATCTCTGGTCCACAGGTCAATGCTCCAACTGCTGAGCCAAACTGGCCAGGGCTTTTTTTTTTTTTTTTTGGTATGCCTAGCTTATTTTTTCTAAACTTGGTAGTAGAGGTCTTTCCTTATAAAAGCATTTATTTTTAAGTTGTTTCATTACTTTATTTAGGGGGTTCCATTTTCACTCCTCAATAGATTTTATGTATTTCTCATGCTTCTTCACTCATTAGTTCATCTAGTTCCGAAGGATTACTTAGTGTCATCTTGATCAACCAATCATCTTCATAACAAGATTTGTTGACAGGTCCTGGATTTTCTGCAAGAGCTTCATTAATTTCAGTTATTTCTCCTAATAGAGGCAAACAGAATTCACTAGCAGCTTTCACACTTTCCAAAGTAACTTATTTGTTCAATTTTGTCCCAATTTCAGACAGACTGTATAGTAAACATCTCCCAAAACTTCTTGTGTAAAATTGCTGATCCCACTGTTCCAATATAATTTTCTGTTATCCATTCATGTTTCTCTGTGAATTTATGCACAGAGAGCAGATTGGGTCTGGTGTACAGTACTGGCCTCAGGCCCCAGGCCTGCGGTGGGCAGGGAGCAAAGTGAGTGTGTGTGTGTGTGTGGGGGGGGGGAGTGTCGGGGCAAAAATCTCCAGCCACTTCCTAGTGGGGGGCATAACTGGCATTTTCTAAAAAGAATATGGTCTTTTTATTTCTTTTTTAATTTTAGAGAAGAAAGGAGAGGGAGAGAGAGAAACATCGATGAGAGAGAACATAGATTGGCTGCCTCCTGCACACCCCAAACTGGGGATTTGGCCCACAACCTGGGCATGTGCCACGACCAGGAATCGAACCAGTAATCTTTTGGTGCATGGGTCAATGCTAAACCACTAAGCCATATTGGCTGGGTAAAGATACTGTCTTTAGACTACCTGCTGGTTACTTTTCCCAGCAGAATTCAGTTTGTCAAACTTTTAAAAAATATGTTTTTATTGCCTGGCTGGTGTGGCTCAGTGGTTGAGCATTGACCCATGCACCAGGAGGTCACGGTTTGATTCCTGGTCAGGGTACATGCCCAGGTTGTGGGCCAAATTCCCAGTGGGGGGCATGCAGGAGGTGGCCAACTGATGTTTTCTCTCATGGGTGTTTTTTTTTTTCCTTTATTGATATTTAGAGAGAGGGGAAGGGAGAGAGAGAGATAGAAACATCAGTGAGAGAGAACATTGATTGGCTGCCTCCTACACGGCCCCCACTGGGGATTGGGCCCACAACTTTGGCATATGCCCTGACTGGGAATCAAACCGGCGACCTCTTCACGCATGGGTCGACACTCAACCACTGAGCCACACCAGCTGGCTCTTTTCATTGATGTTTCTCTCTCTCTCCCTCTACCTTCCCCTCTCTCTAAAATCAATAAAGAAAAAAATAAATGTTTCTACAGATTTTTCGAGAAGGAGAGGGAAAAAGAGAGAGAAACATCTATCGGCTGCTTCCTGCAGGCCCACTACTGGAGATTGAGCCTGCAACCCGGACATGTACCCTGACTGGGAATCAAACTAGCAACCTCTCGGTGCACAGGACAATGCCCAACCAAGCCACACCGGCTAGCCAGTTTGTCAAACTGATAAAATTCTATTCCAGAGAGCGGACAGCTGCACTGAGGAAAATGTTCACAGAAATAGCTGTGATATTAAGGTCCACAACACCAAGGAACTTGTGTTTGAGAGAAGAGGTAATTCATCTTTTTATTTACTTCCCAGGATAATGCAGAATTAAGGTGATATGAGAGCTTAAGTCAATAGTGATCAAGGCTAGAGCAAAATGACCACTCTGGCAGTTTGTATGGTTGCCAAACCATGGAGGAGACAAGAGCTGAGGTCATTTCTAAAAAGCTTCTGTGATGGCACAGAACAAGCACAGAACTTTCCTTAGCCTGCACCAAAGGTTGTGTACAGTTTAGATAATTATAGATCTTGAGGTCCAGAAGGAAGTGCCCTAGTTAAGTTGTAGCCAGAAAAATAACTATGCCAGGAATGTGGACCTCTTCCAATATTGTAACAAGGAAACTTGGACTCTTCTCTGACCTCCATAGGTTCAAGGCTATTTAACAGTGTCCACTGACCCCCACCCCCAACCACCACACTAGTCTTAATTCCTTCCAGGCAGGCTGAAATATTTCTGTTCTGAAAAAATACAAAAATTTCAATAAGCTTATTATGAAGTACTGGACATATAAAAGAAAGTACTTAATTGAACCAAATGTCTTTCTCTCTCTGAGCTCCTTATTGAAGGCCTACTTGGAATCCTTCAAAATGGTTGTGCATTCACTGTGTCAAAGATTATTCTGAGCATTCTATGTGGATTATCTCATTTAATTTTCAGAACTATAAATCAGACTCAGGAGTTAGATGCCTGGATTTAAAATTCTGCACTATTTAATAGCTGTGTAACTTCAGGCAAGTTACTTGACCTCCGTCTTGGTTTCCCCATCCATAAAATGGAAATAATAGTACTAGCAATAAATGATTAACATATAATACACTTAAGATAGTTTGTGGCACATAGTAAATGCTCAATATGTGTACCTGAGTCTCACTATCTTGTATCTGAGTGTTTCACCTCTACCAGTGGCATGTTTTAGGTTAGAAGCAGTTAAGTATCATGGCAACTGACTTATTCCAGCAACTGCTGGCAGTATTCCTGAGGAAAGAAAAATGGAGACAAGGCCACCAATGAAGACATCTACGGGTCCTTTTGATTGACTGTACTAGTATCTAAGCCTACAGGTAGACTTCTGGGTCTCTGAAATACACATGTGCAGACCACGCTTCAGGACTAGCTCACATAATCTGCCCAGAGTCGGCCACACAAAGATGGGCACCATTTGCTCTCTACTACAAGGTCTCCCCCGAAGGGCTTCTATCCCCCACCCAATGGCCATCATCTAATGCTAGGATAGGAAAAAGGCGCAAACACCAAAAGGAAAAGCTAGTAGTTTATATAGATAGATATATAGATATATAGATATTGATATATATTGTGTTTACATAGTCCACAAGTTAAATGCAGGTATCCATAAGAAGAGCATTAACAATAAAAATACAATCTGTGTGTAGCCAAGTACAGAGACTTAAAATGGTAAAACAGCAAAAAGGATCTCACAAAAGTACAAATATACAGTACAAATTGATTTATTTAAAACAGTTACAAAAAAGCACAACAAAATAGAGATTATCCTTAGAATTATTAATGCTTTGTTAAAGATCAGGTAGGATTAGAGGGTAAGAAATGGTATGGGTGGGGGGAGCACCTGACTAGTTCTAAGGCTTTAGATACAATGCAATTGATTACATATTAATTCAGCCATTACATACTGGGGATGGTAGTTGGGGGTCAGTAATTTATCTACAGGGAACTCCTACACCAATCAGATCCATCCAGACCTCCCCAGTGCCAACCTTCTCTATTCCTTGGGACCCTAAAGCCAATTGGATGACATTCCCATCCTCCTTTCTCCACCCCATTCCATATCCATATATTCTTCCCTCCCCTAAGGTGCTGTGCAAGCTGAGAGCAGTCTGCTCTCTGCAGCTGGAACATATACTGTTTTGGCTACAGGGATCCTGTGACTAGGAAGGTTGTAGGGGACAGCCTTATTTTTAATACTTCAAGTTTGCCATGAGAACAGTCAGTCTCTCCCCAACACAAGATTCTCTCAAATTCGAGTATCAAGCAACTGAGGGATGAACTCTGCCTTTAGCAATACCAGCAATGCACTAACCACTCACAGCTCACTACGTGCAAACTCCCTGTCCAGGGAGTAGGTGTAAAACCACTGCATCATCAGCTCACACTCTCTTGCTAGCTCTCTGATGAACCTCAGTCCCCATGAGTCATAAAGACAGAAATAAATGCTTGCAAGTTTGACAATAGGTAAAGGCACATGGGCTGCTGCCACACACACTGCAGACAGGAACCCAATTTGAGGCCACCTTCACTGCTGGGCATTTGCAGTTTAGAATGGCTTTGGGACCACACAGACTTTGGGGTTTGCAATCTACTGAGGGAGAATCTAGGTTTAACAGAACTAAGAAACCTTAGTGTGAAAAGTGCATTTATTACTACTGTTCCTGCTGGGGAGGTTCAGCAGGGCAAACCACACCACCTCTCCTCCTTCCGCCCCAGGCACTGTGCATAGTCTGCAGGTAAGGAGAGTGCAGTCGACTCTAGCATCTCAAGAGCCAATGTCATCCTAGGCCCAGACCAGACTTCTGGTCCAAAGAATGATCCTAGAGTTGAAAGAGCAACTGACAGCTGCAAAGACCCAGATGCTTATTTTATTATTGCATAATGTGGAAGGCCTTCACTACTCCAGGGAAGCTTGGAGGGTGAAGGCTTCCCAGCAAAGGGCTAATAGGTTCCTGGTCAACATCCAACTTAGCACAGTTCAGCTCTTCAACTGTAGTGTACACTTTTTCCCATCTGGAAAGTATTGTAGCTTCAGTGTGGTTTAGTAAACGTAGGCCTAGGGGGCCAAGAAGTCCCCTAAAACTTGGCCTCTGCCCTATTTACTTTGCTTTTAAGACGGTGACCTGATCTCCCATGGCCAATTAATCAGGTTATCTTTACTCCAATGGACCCAGGCCCTTTCCCAGTCAAGTCATTTCCACCCTTCATCTCCAGTGTGATCACTCAACTCTTCAATATGCCTGCCTGTTGCAAGTTTAAATCATACCACCAACCTGTGCATCTCCTATGATGCCCACGGGTAAAAATAAAAATAAACCCCACTGAGTGGCTATTTCAAACTTCAAACCCTTTCCCAACCCCAAACCAGAATCCACATAACTGGAGCCAGATGAACCTCCCTGGGATGCTGGCACAGGCTCTAAACCTGGTTCCCCATCATTTATTTTTAAAAACAGGATACAAGATACCACAAAGGAAAGACATTAATACACAGAAAACACCCACTAGTAGGACCTGCTTGTTTATCCCTCAAGACACTCAGATATTTGGAGCCAAAGGGCTCCCGATAAGCACTCAAGCCACATCCCTTTGGATTCACCAGCCTGCCAGCAGCAAGTCATACTATTCCTAGTCACCATGACTTTGTTATAAAGTAACACTGCACAGGTGAGAACAAAAAGCCTGAATTTCATGTATGTGGCCAGAGACATGGAAGAATGGGGAGCTATAAAGGGCAGCAGGCAGGACAGTGAGCAGACAGCAACAGTGGCAAAGCAGCACAGACCAAAGCCCTTGGTGTTATCACCAACTGGGACCAAGAGTATAGAAGGGTCAGTCCAGACCTGCTGGGGCCCCTCCCCATAGGAATGAGTGCTCAGCTTGGAACTCCCAGGATCCCTTTCCCTACACCACCCCCTCCCCACTCCCAATGTATACTAATTTTGATAGGAATGATGATCCAAGACTTGGATGTATTACCCATCCTTTCCTGGTTCCCCTTCTTTCAAAGTGGTATAATCATTTCAATTTAGTGCCAAAGTTAGCAGTCCTTTCTATCCATAAGCTCTGGGAATGGCCTACCACTGACAAGGGACTGGCTCTGGCCTTCTTCAATTGCCCATTCCCCTAAAGCTGACAGGTTCCCACTAAAATGCTCACTCTCTCAAAACCACTCTTAGGGAAGAATGGACACACCATAGGTTACTCTTACTTTTCATGCCTGAAAGAAAGACTGAACCAGAGGGAAAAGGCAAAGGGAATGCCACAGCTCTGACCAAGATTTAGAGCACAGAGCTTCTTTTTCTGGGAGATCATATTTTACAAAATACACCTCTGCAGCTCAGCAAAATCAAGTATTTAAATATTACATATTCACGGCACAATATCAGGGGAGCTACTGGTATTGCTTTCCCAACAAGAGACAGAAGAGGAACAGCAGCAGAAAGGTCAGGGCTCAACTTGCCAAGGGGCACAAGATTTTCTTTCCAGGATTAAGTGGAAGTTACCAAGCTAGGTAATGGAGGATTATTTGATTTAATCTACTTGGCCTATATCTAGTTAGATATAGATTTGCTCCCATGAGGAAGCTCAGTTGGTGTCCCTGGTGGACATTTCTTGAGTGTCTACTTGTGTGCATGTCACTATCTTCTGTTGATGAACCTTCCTATGAGGAAAGATGTTTCTGAGAAACCTGTGCAAACCATAATCCGTAGGAATGAGTTGCTCATGGAACAGCCAGAGACACCTTCTCCAAGGGCCATCATCTGAGAGAATTCAAGACTCAGCCCTACAGGTCCTCACTGCAGGAAAGAAACCAAAGAAAGCAGCATTCGGAGAGAATGGGGGAACAGAGAAGGAAAAGGGCATGATCCCAAAAGAGTACAAGGCTGAGTGTTCACTAGACAGGGTTGGTGTTTGGTTCTAAGGTGAACCAGAAACTTAAGTACTTGCGGTCAGGTCAGCAGCTTCTTTGGATGAGCCTCCAAAAGCTGACTGACCAGGTAACTGCTCTCAAGGAATGACACAGTGGAGTGTAAGGCTTGTAACAAACAAGCCAGTTTCAGCCACTTTGTTCCCGCAGAACAACCTTTAGCACCTGAACACTAAGAATGACTCCATTCTCAGAACTCCCCCTCCCCCAGGAGGTAGGTAAGATTATTTATCCCCATTTGGCAGCTGGGGAGGAAGTGAAAGAGTGAGAGGTCACAAGACTTGCCTAAAGTCTTTGACAGAGCAGATAACAGACCTCAGAGGTTTGAGACTCCTGATAACAGGCCAGGCCTTGGCCAGTCCAAGTATATTTATTTCTAAAGGAAATGCCAGGATCATAACCTGGGAGAAGCCTCACCAGAGAGCTGGGTGGACAATACCCTGAGTTGCTTCAAGAGTCTAAAGACCCCTGAAAAACAAACAAAAAGCCCACCCACCCACCCACCTGATAGCTGGTGGGGGAGCCTAATTCTCAATACCCAGTAGAATCCCAGTCTGAGCTGATGCTAAAAGTTGTGAAAAAAATGTAGATTTAAGACAGAGGGGCAAATGCAACTAAGATTGAAAATACTCTTTGCAGAGGAATATTCCACCACAAAATGAAATCTAGGCGACTTTATGTATTGAAACGTTATTGAGACTATCCCAGAACCTTAGAGCTGGCTGTGAAAAAGGACAGCTAGAAAAGGAAGTGGAATTAAGATGGAAGGAGCTATGTAAAAATGCCAGGATGGGCACTGCCCAGCCAGGTGTATTTGCCCTGACCCGTGGCAGAGTTCCCTTGTTTCTCCACTAAGCTGTTTAGCTGCAGAGGGGACATGATTCTTTGAGTTTTTAAAAACAGAGAATATACCTAAAGGGGAAACCAGAGAGACCCCTACACACCAGAAACTAGAGGTCTTGGTCAGAGTGGACAAAACCAATTTTGCAGAAGGGGAAAGGCAGTGCAGCTACATATTAGGCCCAGGTCAAGAAACCATGCAGAGGTAAGGTTAGGGCAGCAGAAGGGTGGGAGCCACATAGGCACTTAGGCACAACACAGACAGAGGAGGGGTGCAGGGCCTGGGGAAAAGGGTCCACTAGTTCTTTCAAAAGTCACCATTACCAACTAGAGATTCAGTACAATCTTGTAGCAGGTCTGGCATGCTGGGTAGGAGCTTTGTTAGGTCAGCTTCCTTTCCAGAAGCCCTGCCTAGAACCCGGTCAGCCTGGCCATAAGGTCTTTCTCCCAAAGTCCCTTGACTGGGTCCCCACTAAAGCAGTACTTCGCTCTAAACCCTACAGGGGCTTCTCTTTCCTGATGCTAGAAGCTTGTGGGAGGAATGGTGAGGAGAAATAGAAAAGGGCTGAAGCAGGATCAACCAGTCCTGTAGATGAGTGCTCCTCCCCCACAAACCAGCCACAGACATCTGTGTAACAAAATTACCCTTTAAAGTGCACAGCTCTCAAAAGAAGAGTTCTGGGTGGGAACCCTCTTATTCCAACCATGGGGCCTCCTGCCCTCCCACCACAAAAAAGGAAAAAAAAACTTCAGACAGTTGAACTGCTACTATAAGCTGTGGATCATCATTTTTGGCTCTTTCTTTGCTCCCTCCCTCTGCCACCTGCTCCCAAAGCCCGACTTTCCCCTTACAGGAGCTAGGGATGGGGAGGAAAAAACAGGGAGGCCCTGATATTTGGAATGTTTCTTATCCTGCATGCACCCCCTTATTTCCTTGGCCCAGGCCTGCTGCTCCCCCATCACAGCATCCTCTGGGGCTATCCTAAAAGGATGCCACAGGGTAATGAGCAACAGACCCTGCCTTGGGAGGATGCCTTCATGCCTCCTCTCCCCCACTCCCGCCCCCAATCTCACTGCCAAGAGAGCCATTCCCTACTTGACATGTGCAAATCCTCTGCCTGCTCACGGTGAGGCCAGCTCTGGGGTAAAGCCCCAGTCTGGTCTGGGAGAGAGGTTCATTTTCCTGCATTGGAACGCCCTTCGATGGACAGTTTTACCTCTTGTGGAATGAAAGAGGGACGGAGCAGCGCAGCCCGTGCCTCCTCCCCTTGCATGCTGTATCTTTGGAAGCTCGGAGCTGGCCAGCAAGCCTGAGCACCAGGCCCTGGCTGGGAGGGCTCTACTGTTCGGGAGCCCTCGCCTGACGGCTGGCTCTTCCCCTCACTGTCACATTGCTCTCTGGGTCCCAAGACTGTCCTCTCAGGCCTTTCTCGAGGGTTACCCAGCTGGCCTGGGGGAGCACAGCTGGCCTGAGAAACTGAGTTACTGTTCAAGCTCTGTAAACTGATAGAGATGCAGACATCTCCCACCTGTAGCCGATGGCAGGGCAGAGAGAAGAGCTGTGCAGTTCGCCCAGGGCTGCAAGAGGACCAACCCTGACCATATACAAAAAAGGGGTGCTCGGGGGGCACTTCGATGCTCACTTTGCTCTGCTGCTCACCGACCACAAAATGCAGCATGACAAATCCAGGCCACTGGCTCTCCTGAATGTCCACGACTGTGCTAGAGTCAATCTTCAGCCCCCCGCTCACTTCGGCACTGCGCACAAAATCCTGGGTCTGGAGGTCCTCCACCCGCTTCAGCTCCCCTGTAGCCAGCTGGATGATGGCGCCTTTCATGAAATGGGAGGGCAAGTGGGAGGAGGTAATGGGGGGTGGAGTTGGCTCCTTGTCTGGGAAGATGGCTCTGGCCTGTGTGTCCAAACTTGATGCCACCAGGATCTCCGAGCCCATGGGCAGCAGGCCTGTGTCAGTTCCAGTGGGCACCAGGTTGCCATTGGCTACAACCATTGCTTTGGGTAAAGGTCTATGTTTCACCGGTTCCTGATGGGATTGAGGGTAGAAACCCCGGGCCTGGTTTTTCTCGGCCACCTCTGCTGGGTTCCGGGCTGACCCTCGCCCCTCACCCTGGTGGTCAGGGGTATGATGGGACAGGTTGAGAGGGCTGGGCTCATCTTTCCTCTGAGCTGCCACCACACGATAGTCCTGAGAAGCTAAAGTGCCAACCACCCGCTGGACCTCGAGGTCAATGTCAGGGGTCCCTCGGTGTGCTGGCACCGCCACCTCCACCCGTGCAGTCTGAGAACCTGAAAACAACTGTCCATCCACCACACATTCTACCACTGGCACCAGTCCCTGGCCGTCACCCTTGCCGTTGGGGGAGTCGAGGGCTTCACTCTCCCGTCTTACTAAAATTCTTTCTCGCTGTCTCTGTCCATTGGCAGGGGCTGCTTCCAGAACAGACTGGCCCTCCTGAGGGGTAAGAACTGGGCTGGCACCAGCTGGAGGGGTTTCATGTAAGGTGTACCCAGCAGGTAGCCTGGACATCTGATAATAAATGGGCATCCGGCCTGGAGCAAGGTCCAGTGGCTGAGTACTGGAGTGATGTGGCAACTGCCCAGGTGGGGAGGTGGCAGAGGGGGTTTTATTGAATGAGTGAGCTGGGGATGAAGCCTGGGGAGGAGGAGTGGTTCCTTCTGCCAGGAGCGAGGCATATGGCACAAAGTGTGGAAGGTGGGAAGTGGCAAGGTTGGCAGAAGGAGAAAGGAGGGGACTCGGTAGGAAGTTAGGTGGCACAGCATAGGGAAGGCTATAAGGAGACCCAATAAACTGCAGAGAGGTGGATGGGAGCTGAGCATAGTGGATTGGGGGATAGTGGATTCCTGGATGTTGAATCAGTGAAGACGCTACATTAAATGTGGGGGGCAAAGGGCTCATGTTCACCACAGATGGGAGGCCAGTTGGGGAGAAGGTGGCAGGTGGCACAGCCACCTTATACAGCATGCCATACTGGTCCACCGTCAGACCAGTGATGGCCTCAGCTCCATCACCCCCCAGGCTTACTCTCGCTCCTGCCTGGCTCTGCCCTGCCACCACAACCCCTCGGGACCATTCAGAGACATCACTGGAGGGTGTGTGGTTAGTTGAGCAGCTGGTAGTTCTCCCCATATCCTCGCTGGTCACGGGGAGGTCTCGTTTCTTTGGTGGAAGGCATTCCTGACTCCTCTCATGAACAGGTTTCATATTGCTTTGTGGTGTTCCTGGAGCCTGGAAGGGGTCGGCTTGCTCCTTGGGGCATCAGAAGGGACTTCTCTGTGGCTCCCCTGAACCCTCTCTGCTGCTGGCTGGGGCGCCCACATCTGCTAGGGAACAAATCAGAGGCAAAGAAAGTAACCTAGGGGTGAACCAAATCAAAGAAAATAGCAGGAACTGTGCCCATGCAGGAAGATGTAACAAAGAGGACTGTTGGAAAAAAAGAGGTATGAGAGAGGGGCAGACAAGGATGCTACCCTCCTTACTCATTCAGTTTAGGACATGAAACAAACAGTCACAAAACCACAGAGCTACAAGGACAAGCACTCAACAATGCATAAATAAACCCAGAGAGAACAGCTTCATGATTAGATGTGCCTCTGATGGAGACCTTGACTATTCTGCCTTCTCCCCTCAGACAGAATTGAACAAATGGTCTTTGCTGCTGGCTCTTTCTTCCTAAGTTTCTCCTTTTGCCACCAAAGACTACTGTGCTATCTTCTTTCCTGAACATATGACCTCATCCTTACTTCCTTTCCCCAGCCTAATTTGGGTTATGATCTCACCTATCCCCAGCCCCCCACCTCAGGCCTGGTTAAACTCCTTTGCCTCATATCACCACTACCTCAAGGACCCAGGTGTCAGTAAGTCCTCACGTCTGCTTGTGTCTTATTTTTTTAAACCTTGCTCCCTAAACCTGTTATGAGCATTAGTATCTTCTTTGCCCCATGAAATACTACATTCAAACTTGGGCTCTGTGGAAAGAGTGTTCTACTAGTGTTCTACAATTTATGTTTCTCCTCCTCCCCCAAAGAGCCACAAAATTCCTCTGATCTCACATAGACTTCTTGTTCCCTACTCTGACAAGAATTCTTTTCTTCTCATTGACCACCTTCAATTTGCTTTCTTCTTTCATTCCCTTTCCTTTTTCTTTTGTGTTTTCTTTTGTCAATGACTCCTTTTCCACTGTACATCTCCTCTAGGCACCACTTCCTAAAATTCTGATATCATTCCTCCAAACATGCCTGTTTGTTACTATCTTAGGTCTATATGATTAGTAAGAAAATTCTCTCTCCCCTTTCTCTCGTTGTCACCTTTCATACATGCTTTTGTCCATTGTCAAAAAGTATCTTTTTGGTTTGAACACTTCAATGCATATGAACTTTGTCACCTATTTCTTCCAATCAGGCTCCAGTTCTTTGGATCTGAAAAGAGATTTCTATATTACAGTCTGTTCTGTTTTTCCACTGTTGAACCCCAGATTTTTTTTTTTTTTGCAACACGGTATCCAAAGCAGCTGTAATACCTGAGCTTCCAGTGGTGCTTCTGAGCAGCTGTAGTAAGAAGCAGTGTTCTCCCCGCTGGCATGGGAGCCTAAAAGACAGACAAAGGGATAAAGTAAGCAGGAGCCTTGCCTTCGACCCCCAGGGTCATCAAGAAAAGTAATTCCAAAGCCACGAAGACTTTAAACTCCATGAATCCCTGCCTCGTCCTCTTCTCTAGAGGCAACAGCACATTTATCCAGAGTGCCCAGGCAGTTAAATAGAGAAAAAGCCATCTCTTAAGCTCTAATTTGTAGGAAGACATCCCTGGAAAAAATTTTCCATGTCAAATTTCATTGTTTTCCTTAACACTATATTCTTCATTCTCTATCTATACCTACTGCCCCAAAGGTTAAATTTACTTCCAATTCCAATTTCAGGTAAATGCACAAAAAAGTGGAAGGCTCAACATTGTTCCCATGTGAACAAGGGAAGCAGGAAAAATCAACTTCACAGATTTCGCTTTTATTCAGAGCTGATGAAAACACAGTTGTGGAGGTTATTTAAATGAGAAAAGCAGCACTAGAGAAAAAAGAACAATTATTTATGTTTCTGGGGCAGAAAAAGAGGTCAAGGGGGAGTCACTCAAAGGGAAGCCTTATTAACAGATTTTCAGGGTAAAAAATAAAAGGGTCTCCTGTGTGTGTAAAATTTTCTGAGTGACAACTTCGTACCAAGTACTGAATTAGGTAGGACAGAAATTAAAAACATTGCCTTGGTCCTCGTGTAGCTAATAATGGGAAAACAAACTCACGCTAAACTGTCAATACTTGAATCTACACATGCCAGAAACATCAAGCACTGAAAAACAGAGCCTTAATCTCTGAAAACAGAGAAAGCAGTACTGACCAGTACTCTGAGCAACTACCCATTGTTCTGTCCAAGTCCTACAGAACACTGCAGCCTCAAACCAAACTCAAGGCAACATTTATCTCTTAAGATTGGCTAAGTGTAGATACGTACAAAAAGGTGATGAGAGGAAACAAGCTGGAAAGACTAGCTCCATAAACACAAATTACACAATGGACACGAGTGGTGTATCCCTTCTTTGCCCGCAGTTCCAGTAACTGAAAAGCAGTTAGCTTTCTCCTTCATTTCCAACAAAAACTGGGGTCACATCTTCAACCCTAGAATGATCCTTGCTCCCTGCAACTAAAACATTAAGGAAAACCTGCCTCTAGGTCACTGAGGGGTTAGCTAAACACAAGCCAATAAAAGGACTGAAAGAGGCAAAAGGTCTGTGGGAATGACAACAAAGAGCTAAGCCTGTGCACCAGGTTCCCACAACACCAAACACATTTCGGAATCTGAAACCACGGTCTCTGGAGGGGCCCAATGAGGAAGATGTAGCTTGCTACCCCAACCGAGCTAACCAGGAAGGGGGGGGGACCGTTCCAGAGAGTTGCCAACGCTGCCAGCAGAACCAAGGAATCAAGAAGCTGAACCCTGCCAGAGACCAGAATTCGCTGAGGACGAGAGGTGCGCCCGCCAGAAAGAAAGGAGCTTGAAAGATACTAGGGGTTACGCTTCCTGTGCTCCCGCAATCCTTGCTCCAAAAAGGGTAGGGCCCGAAACTGGGAATTCAACGTTTGGAGAGTGGGGGGGTGGACCCTTCACGCAGAGGGCCAGGGGCTAGAGCCCGCAGGTGATGCTTCCTTGTCTGGGGGCCTCTTCCCGCCCCAAGGACTCGGACACCCCGTCCGGTGGGGACACAGCCGCGGGGTCGCCGGGGCCCGAGGCCGCCTTCTGGGCTGGGTCGAAGGAAAGAACGCGGGGGTCTAAACTCGGCCTCTTTCGCTCCCTCGGTCCGCGGTTCGACCGGGCAACGGGCTCCGGGGGGCCACTTCCTCCGGAGCTCTGAGCCCAGGCCTGCAAGGCCTCAGCGAGGCCGGTCCGGCGGCCCCAATCCCGGCGATACTCACCGGCCCATCTCACGACGCTCTTCGGGCCCCTCCCGCTCGTCCCGGAGCCGCCGCAACCGCGGCCGCCGCCATCCCCGGCCCCGGAGCCGCCCCACACCCAGCGCCCCCCCAGTCGGGCGCCCGGAGATGGCGTAAGGCGCGTCCCGCCCCCGGCGCGGGGAGATGGCGTCACTCCTGGGCCGGAGAGGGACGCCCAGGAGTACCTCCCGAAGGGAGGGGCTGGCCACTCGCCCGAAGCCCCCAGAGCCTGCTCCGATGGGAAAACGAAATCTTCCCCTTGGAGCTGGGTCACGTGGATAGGGTTGGGCCGGGCCTCTTCACCTTGACCCCACAATGACCCCGCAAGCTTTCCACCTCCAATAAATTCTAGGGGTTCCTAAACAGAGCATGGCTATCAGAGACCCTCATTTCTCGGACTTGCTGGCCCGATTTGTGGAGCCTCCTCTTGGGAATCTAAGGGAACCCCGAGGCTCTCAGAGCCCCGGAGAGTAAGAAGACCCCCCCTGGAGACCCAGTGTGAAGACGGGAGCTCTTTAAGAATTGAGAAATGTCTGTGAGCTGGATGAGAATGGACCGCACCCAGGATCTAGGGGAAAGTGAAACAGGTGGTGGGAGACATGAAACCTCTGTGAGAGCTCTGGCCTGTTTCGCTCAGTGGTTAGTGCGTCTGCCAGAGGACCAGAGAGTCCCAGGTTCGGTTCCTGCTAAGGGCAGGTACCTTGGTTGCAGTTTGTCCCCGCCCGGTTGAGGTCATGTGGGTGGCAACCAGTCGATGTGTCTCTCTCACATCGATGTTTCTCTCTCTCCCTCCCTCTCTCCCTCTTACTAAATGCAAAAAAATGTCTGTCCTCCGATGAAGATAAAAACAAACAAACATGTAACTGCCTGGCCAGTGTGGCTTACTGGTTGAGCATCGACCCAGGCACCAAGAGGTTGTTGGTTCGATTCCTGGTCAGGGCACATGCCCAGGTTGTGGGCCCAATCTCTAGTGGGGTGCATGCAGGGGGTGGCCAATTGATGTTCTCTCTTATAGATGTTTCTATCTCTTGCCCTCTCCCTTCCTCTTTCTCCAAAATCAACAAAGAAAAAAAAAGACATATAACATTATAGTTGCATAATATATATCTTTACAGAAAAGGAATGGAAGGATGTGTAACAACTAGTTAACATAGGAGAGGAAAGTGGAATTGGATAGTGGTCAAAAGGAAAAAAAGGGATTTATGTTATTGTTCTGACTTTTTTATTTATTTTTTGAGGGGGGAATATGTGCTCTTGACTGGGAATCAAACCTGACACCCTTCAGTGCCCCGGCCCTAACCACTGAGTACACCACCCGGGCTATTGTTTGTTTTTTTGTTTTTAACAAGGAATCTAATTTTTATTTTTATTTTTTTCTTTATTGATTTTTAGAGAGAAAGGAAGGGAGAGAGAGAGAAACATCAATGAGAGAGAACATTGATTGGCCCTCTCCTGCATGCCCCCCACTGGGGATTGGGCTCACAACCTCAGCATGTACCCTGACCAGGAATCAAACCAGCGACCTCTTGGTGCATGGGTTGACACTCAACCAGTAAGCCACACCAGCTGGGTTGTTTGTATTTTTTAATGAGAATATTATATTAGAAATATTAAAATAAGGTAAAATACAAATGAAGTATGTGACTCTAAGATTCTTTCAAGGGAATCCTTAGATCTTAATTTTGATACTTTTTACCTTGATGGGCACAAAGAATCATCCAAATTATTGAATTACACACACATACACATACCCCTTGATCCAATGGATAAAAAAACATAGTGAAGCTACTGACCTGTAACTATCTAAATCAAAGGGCTTTGCTTCATGAATATTAATATTCATGATAGTCATCTTCTCTCTCAGTTTGGCCAAGAAGGAAGTCCTGTGGTCACTCAGTGATTCCATTTTAGCACTAGCTGGCATTCTGTTAATAGGTTCATTGCTTAGCTCACTAAACTGGTATTAAAACTGTAAAACAGATAGACCACCTTGAACCATTCAGGTGTATTCAAGGATAGCTAATTTCTCCCAGATCAAGATACACACTCAGAGACCTGCTTTTCAGACAAAGTTGAAAGAGCAGACACAGGCAGATACAAGCAGAAAAAGTTTTTTGACTACCGGCCAGTAACACAATTACGTAGTGCAAAGGCGTGTCTGATTTAAAAAACAGGATGTTCTGATTGGTGAAACACAGGTGATTTCCTGCTTTGGTGCTGCAGTCCCAAAAGGGTGGGTCATATCTCTGCTGTATGCTGTTTTAGAAATCTTTACTTCAAGCAATCCTGATTTCTTTGGTCGTACATATTGATAGTAGGAAGCTCCATAGTGTCAGTTTTACAGGAATATTAGTGATAAGGAAACTAATGCAGTTTAACCAGAAGTTACTTTATTTCTCTAAAATTCTGTATTATTCTTGGTATCTGGATAATTCTTTATTTAAGTTATTTATATTAAGTAAACCTGGGGTCTTAACCACTGTAACAGGCTCAATAAATAGTTGAATGAATTTTCACAAATATATCCCACAGTGGGAGCCTTTCCTTGCTAATTCCTTTGCTCAAATTTCCTCATTTCTACTCTTACCTAGTTAATCTGTTTGCTATCTGTTTTTAATCTCATTTGAAAGTCCATTTTATTTCACCGAGTTTTTGTGTTTTTTTTTTCCCCCACAGCGTTTTAAGAACTGATGAACTGAAAGGAGATTTTTAAAGGTATTTGGGACATTTGGGGATTGAAGAGTTAAACTTCAAAGTTTTTTCCACCTCTTCTCTTTCCCTGGATTTCTATTGAATTCCTATGATATGTGTAGATTGAATTTGTGTAATGGGAGAACTTGAGTTACCCTGTTGGTAGGAAAACAACACAACCCTGCCACGCTGGTTATTCTCCCTAAGCCGGCAGGAGTTTCAAACCAGCTCTCTGTGTAGCCTATTTCCTCCTTCTGGTTTTTCTAGACCTGTACTACAGGCAGGGAAAGCTCAGACAACTACCCCAGCTTCTTTTTACCAGAGAAAAGTACTTGTAACTTGGGAAACCATGTGTGTCATAACAAGGGGAGGAGATGACATTTTTCATACTGTCACATCTTCCTGCTTGTATGCTTCAGCATGTAAAGGTGTCATTTTAGGAAAGGAACTTCATCTTTGAATGCTGGTGGTGGAAAACAACTAACCGCAAGCATACACTAAAATTCTTGAAATACTTAGTAGATTTAGCTTTTGCTAGGAACGTGTTGGTGCCTGGCATTAGATTATTTTTCAAAAGCTTTTCTGGATGTCCAAATGTAGAAATGTGCAATTTTTAAGCTTGTGTTTTATCTACCTCTCTGAACAATGCTATGTCCTCATTTCCACATGCTTATAATGTTATATGATCTTTTCCAATGGGGATTTCCCTTTCAAATTCATTAATATTTTATTTAGAAAGAGGTCTTATAATTTCTCCATAGTGACTAATATGTCCTGTGGGAAGGGGAATCTCCCGTTGTTGTTTGCTTCCTTAGATACTTGGCAAAGACGTTAAGTTTGTCAAAAACTTCCTGCAGAACTCTCAAAAGTTTCAGTAGAAACACTGACTATTGGAATAAACTGGAGGAAACCTAACCCCTACTTGAATTGCAAGGATCATATCTGGGGTATTGGTCCATAGAGAAACAAGTGCAGCCAGGCCATTACTGAGCAGTTAGGAATTCATTACATGGGGCTTGTTGAATGAATAAAGCGGATGTTGAAAAACTGAAGCCCCATGACACTGATAACTCTCTCTTTTTCTGGGAAACTTGCTCACAGTTGCTGTGCTTTGTGGTGAAATCATGTTCAGCTCTGCCTTCAAAGCTGATCGTCTTCGGGTCAACTTGCAAGTGGTTGTCAATCGCCTAAAACTCCTGGAAAGAAAGAAAAGTGAGTAATACTCCAGGCAGGCCAGCCAGCTGTCTCTCAGATCACTGTGCAATCTCTCCCCACCTCCCCACTGCCTACCGACGTATCTCCTAAGACCTTTCTTACCAACTTTGGAATTTATTTATTTATTTTCAAGCTATAAGAGAAAGTTTATTTAGAAAGTCACAGAGGTAGAAGAAGTGAGCTGTAGAAGAAATGGGCTCAGGAAACAAGTTACAGAGACAGAAGAAGGAGCTTAGGAGAAAGAGAGAGGCAAGGAAAACACACCTGGGGGGCCCTGGCCAGTTTGGCTTAGCGGTTGAGCATCAGCCTGCGGACCAGAGAGTCCCGGGTTCGGTTCCCATTAGGGGCACATACCACAAAAAAATAAAAATAAAATAAAAGTCTGCATTCCTTTACTCAACATATTTATATCTATTTCTAAGCAACCCCAAAGAGCCACATAGCAATTAAAACACACACACACACACCTGGGGGTAAAGTGGTGGGGAAAGGCCCTGGCGTGCTCCCTAGAGAGAGCCACCGCCAACTTTGGAATTCCAAAAAACATTTCTGACTGGTGTGAATGTGGGAATGATTATTGCAGTGATAAAATCTTTAAAAAATGTCCAAAGACAGTTCTGTATCTTGACTGTATCAATATCAATATCTTGGTTTTACAAGATGTTATCACTGGAAAAAACTCAGTAAAGTGTACCCTGGATCTCTTTATATTACTTCTTATAAACTTCAAGTGACTCTACAGTGATCTCAAATTAAAAGTGTAATTTAAATAAATTTTTTTTAGCCTAGCCGGTGTGGCTCAGTGGTTAAGCGTCAACCCATGCCCCAAGAGGTTGCCAGCTCCATTTCTGATCAGGGCACCCTGATCAGGGCACATGCCCAGGTTGTGAGTCTGATCCCCAGTGGGGGGCATTCAGGAGGTGGCCAATTGATGTTCTTTCTCATAGATGTCTCTATCTCTCTCCCTCTCCCTTCCTCCCTCTCTAAAATCAATAAAGAAAAATTATTTAAAAACTTTTTTCTTATTTGTTGATTTTTTTTTTTTTTGAGAGAGAAAGACATCACTTTCTTGTTCCACTTATTTATTCATTCATTGGTTGATTTTTTTTTTTTTAATCCTCACCCAAGGATATTTCCCTGCTTATCTTCAGATAGAGTGGAA